AATGGCGGATGCACCTCCCCCACAGAGCTGGGCCAACCCGGGTTCAGCTGTGCTTGCTGTGAAACTCTCAACCCCGAGTGTTTCCAATTGCTTTTTTTGTGTGTGTGTGTGGGGGTGGGACCTGCCAAGCCTGATCACCTGGCTCCCTGCCTCAGAGCCTTTTTTTTTTTTTTTTTAAGTTGAATGGTTTACTGTCTCCCAAGTGTTCCAGTCACCTGCTGAAAGGGCACCGGGGTCTGTGTGATTTCCCGTGTGGCAACCCACTGTGCTGGCTGAAACAATGGCACTGCCCAGGAATATCCTGGCCTGGCACCCTGTTTAATCAGATGAATGGCGAATCTGCCTTCTTGGAGCTCCAATTGCCAGCTTAAAAGGGCAACCAGACCAGTGTATTTTGTACGGAGAGCCGCCACACTGTGGTGCCAGCAAAACAGCCACGCCAGCCGAAACAGCCGCGCTGGCCAAAACAGCTGCGCTGGTGACCCATGGGGCTCCTCCACCTGGGAATCTCCTGGTCTGTGGGTAATAAAGATCCATCTGGAAATGCAGCATCCACTCACCCTCTGCACTTTCACTGGGAGCTGCAATCCTGAGCTGCTCCTAAAGGGCCATCTTGGATCTTCTTCCTTCATTTTCTCTTTTAATAAGGTTGTGGGATTGGCATATTAGAGGAATGCTAAGCAGATGAGGACCTTTATTTCAGCAAGATGCTAACACAGTCTCTCATGAGGCCTGTGAAGAGAAGACAAGGTGGAGGGGCCCCCTGGGCAGTGGGTAGTGGCCAGTGGCCAGTGAGGCCACTCAAGGCACAACCTCAGAGACAGCAGGAGCAGCTAGTCCAGCCACAGAGCTCTGGCCGGTAGTTTGTATTTCTGTGGGCTTGGTGGTGATATCCCCTTTATCATTTTTTATTGAATCTATTTGATTCTTCTCTCTTTTCTTTTTTATTGGCTGGCTATTGGTTTATTTTTTTTGATCTTTTCAAAAAGCCAGCTCCTGGATTTGTTAATTTTTTGAAGGTTTTTTTTTTGTGTGTGTGTGTCTTTGTCTCCTTCAGTTCTGTTCGATCTTAGTTATTTCTTGTCTTCTGCTGGCTTTTGAATTTGTTTGATCTTGCATGTCTAGTTTTTTAATAGTGACTTTAGGGTATAGATTTTAGATCTTTCCTCGCTTCTCTTGTGAGCATTTAGTGCTATAAATTTCCCTCTAGACACTGCTTTAAATGTGTCCCAGAGGTTCTGGTATGTTGTGTCTTCGTTCTCATTGGTTTTGAAGAACTTCTTTATTTCTGCCTTCATTTCATTGTTTATCCAGTGGACCTTCAGGAGCAGGTTGTTCAGTTTCCATGTAGGTGTGATTTTGAGTGAATTTTTTAATCCTGAGTTATAATTTGATTGCACTGTTGTCTGAGAGACTGTCATGATTTTCATTCCTTTGCGTTTGTTGAGGAGTGATATACTTCCAACTATGTAGTCAATTTTAGAGTAAGTGCAATGTGGTGCTGAGAAGAATGTATATTCTGTGGATTTGGGGTGGAGAGTTCTGTAGATGTCTATTAGATCCTCTTGGTCCAGATCTGAGTTCAAGTCTTGGATATCCTCCTTAATTTTTTGTCTAGTTAATCTGTCTAATATTGACAGTGGGGTGTTAAAGTCTCCCAGTATTATTGTATGGGAGTCTAAGTCTCTTTGTAGATCATTAAGAACTTACTTTATATATCTACATGCTTCTGGATTGGGTGCATATATATTTAGGATAGTTAGCTCTTCTTGTTGCATTGATCCTTTTACCATTATGTAATGCCCTTCTTTGTCTCTTTTGAGCTTCATTCGTTTAAAATCTGTTTTATCAGAGACTAGGATTTCAGAAACTGTAGTCTTTAGCTAAGCAGCAAAAAACAAGTGAGGAGAGGGCTCAGCAATGTGCTAAACTTAGCATCAGGGATCAGTTAATGAAAGAGGAGGGAACATGGATGTAGGGGGAGGCAGTGAATCATCTGTGGCATACTAGGTTTATTTGAAGTAATAGGAGGGCGTTTAAGCCAAGGAGTTGCATGAACAGTTACATTTTAAGGATGATCAATCTGGTTGCTGTGTGAAGAATGTAGTAGATGAAAAATGGGGAAAAGATTCTTGCAATAATTCTGGCAACAGATCATGGAGTCTTTTTGAGGCAGTGAGATGAATTCTGATATATTTCAGAAGGCGAGTGAACTGGATTTGTTGATGGTATGAGTTGGGGAATGAGGGAAAGGCAGGTATTAAGGATTATCTCTGGCTTTTGACTTGATCATCTGGTTGATGCTGGTGTCATTTACTGTGACTGGGAAGACAAGGAGATGTGTCTGTAATGCCTACTAGATATCCAGATGGAGATGTACAGTAAGCACTGAATTGAGTTTGATGAAACCCAGACTTGAGGTATATATTTGAAAATCAATCAGAATGTAGATCTGAAGCCTTGGGACTCTATGAGATTCCAAAAGGAATAGGCATAGATAGATAGGAGTAGTAGGCCTAGGAGTAAGTCATGGGACTCTCCAACATTTAATGATTTAGAAGAGAAGGAGGAGAAACTGTCAATGAAATATAAGGAGAACCAGGAGGGTGCAGCATTCAAAAGTCAAATGAGGAGGGTAATTGAAGAAGGAAAGCAAGGTCCTCAGTGACAGTTATCGCTAAGAATTCTAGCCAAATGAGGATGGAAAACCAATGGATTTGGGAATCAAAACGTCATAGATAATATTGAAAAAGTCAGTGGTACGGTGAAGATGGAGGTGGGATTGGAGTGGGTACAAAAGGATGCAATTCAAGAAAGTAAAGACTATGTGAACTTTTTCAAGAGTTTTTTACACTGGAGGAGATCAGGGAAATGGAGCAGGAATAGGTCCTCCAGCCCTGGGGAAGAATCGAAGTAAGGGAAAGTCCTTTTTATTATTTTTTAAGGATTAAATTTATGTTTCTCACGAGTCTTGAATGTAGAGAAGAGGAGAAAACCATTCTTAGCACTTCATAATAAAAAGAGGTTCTTGACCAACTATTGACCAGAAGTGTCTGGTTGCAACTGATAAAAAACCCAACGTACACTTACTTAGGAAAAGAGAGAAATTTTGTTGGTTCACATAATCAAGTTGGAACCTGAGACTTGAATTCCATTAGAGATTCTCTATCACTGCTTCTCAGCTCTTTCTGCTTCCTCTCCTATTGCAGTTTGAAGGGTACCGGAAAGAAGCAGTGGGAGACATGATTACCAGGGGTTCCAAGTCACATCCTCATGGTTTAATGACCAGACAAGAAATGAAACCTCTCTCACAGATTCATTTGAAAAATTCCAAAAGAAGAGCTCTGGCCCATTTTGGGTCAAGTGTCCATCTCTTGAACCAAGCATTGTGACCAGGAGATGAGGGACTGTGATTGGCTTACATGCCTACCTCTGTATCCAAGGGGACAAAGGGGACAGGATATCTTACCACAAGAAAGCAAGGAGAGGTCTGGGTAATCTGAAACTTTAGCTGACCCATTTAAATACTGGCGGCCACACATAAAGTGCTTGCTTTCTGGAACTCAGGCTGATTGTGGGTCTATGGCTTCATAATTACAGCAATAATGCCTTTCATTTTTCTATATATTTGTACCTTCATTATCTTATTTGATATTCAAACCAACTACATACAGTTGAGGCTCTTCTTTGCATTTTACAGATTAGGAAACTAAGGCTCAGAAATCAAAACGGCCTCTCATTTTGTGATGGTGATAGTGTCTCCCAGTCCGGATACCCCCATTCTCTCCACTCTTCTGCCACGTGACTAACAAGCAGGTCATGATGGACAAAGAAGCATGTCAGTGATAACTAGGGGGTTTGGGTTTAGAGTTACAAAAGATTTTATTTTAAACATTTTTATATTTGTAACATATTATTAATGAATAGCTTATATTCATACAATATTTTATTAGTCAATAGCTAATTCATTCTAAGATAATTGGCTAAGTAGATTATTTGGATCAAGGGGACATACATGACTTTATAAAAAGTAAGGTAGTCTAAGGCCAAGTACGGTGACTCACACCTGTAATCCCAGCACTTTGGGAGGCCGAGGTGGGCAGATCATGAGGTTAAAAGGTCGAGACCATCCTGGCCAACATGGTGATATCCCGTCTCTACTGAAAATATATGGAGATTCCACAAGGTTCTTTTCTGGAATTCCACAGTTTTGGGAATGACAACAGCCAGAAATCAATGGAAGGAGCCAATGTCTGTTGATTATCAGCTAAAGAAACTGTGCATAGCCCTTCACATAATCTTTTCATTTGATTCTAATAACTACTGTGTGAGAGAGTGATACCTTTATGTCTAGCTTAGAAATGAGAACATAGAGACGTGAAAGTTTAGTGATGTGCTCTCTTGAGAAGGGCTGATAGAAGCAAGATCAGCTTTTAGGTCTGCTTGGCTTCAAAGCCTATATCCTCCCGCTGCATATCTAAGTGCATCTGGCAAGTAAAGGGAGGGACATTTATTAATAGGTTTGGTTTTGATCCTGTCTCTCCTCCACATGCAATTATTTTCACAATTTCTTGGGTAAATGGCATTTTTCATGTTCATATAGTATAAAAATTAAGGTGAAATCTAGCAGTGAAGAAGGTCGCCATCTGCGTTGTATTGTTTTAGATGGCATCAAATACATGGGAAAAGTTTTGGCAACTTATGAAATAACACAATTTAACTTATAGTTAAAACAGGTCTAGAATCAACATCAAGGGGTAGTTTTTCTCTATTTCTTGCAACTCTTAGTTCTTTTTGCTTCCATTTGAATTGGAAATAGTCTAAAAGCTGATTTTCCCCCTCACTATTTACCAATCAAAAGGAATCAGACCCCAAATGATATCAGTAAATGATGATGAGCTTTGAATGAGAAGTGTTTCTTAATCCCAGTTCTGCCTTTGATACATTTCTGTGTTCCTTCTAATAGCCATAACCCTTTCCATTTTTGTGTTGTCACTTACCCTCGTTTCCTTGACAAACCCCAAGCACAGGGTTTCTCTATGGGTGACTCTCTGGGGTTGTCCTTGTGACCTGGAGATGGTAAGAAACACACAGAGCAATGCGATAATGTCAATAATGACAAGCTGACCCTAGCTACCACGGGTGGCCTCTTTGCTCTCAAATGAATCTAATAGCCCAAGGAAGTATTTCTCCTTTTTCAGCAGCCCATTCAAAGTGGTATTAACCATTACCCAGCTTTTATCATTCCATATCTTATGGAAAAATAATAGTGTTCACCTCAAGTCAAATATCTCTTAAATTTAATGCATTCTGAAATACATTGAGGAAAAAAATGCATCATCCTGGTGTTATATAAAAATCGATGTCATCCTTTTACATCCACGCATTCAACAGTTGGTAACTTCAGTTCCTGTTTCGGTTTGTATATGTGGAACTATTGTCTTTCAAACTATACTTTTCTTCTTCTTTTTTTTTCTGAGATGGAGTCTTGCTTTTGTTGCCCCAGCTGGAGTGCAATGGTGTGATCTCGGCTCACTGCAACCTCTGCCTCCTGGGTTCAAGTGATTTTCCTGCCTCAGCCTCCTGAGTAGCTGGGATTACAGGCATCCACCACCACTCTTGGCTAATTTTTAATTTTTTAATATTTTTAGTACAGACAGGATTTCACCATGTTTGCCAGTTGGTCTCGAACCTGACCTCAGGAGATCCGTTCACCTCAGCCCCGCAAAGTGCTGGGATTAGAGCTGTGAGCCACCATGCCTGGCCTATACTTCTCTTCTAATTGCAGAAACTTAAACATGTTTTATCTTATGTCTCCATACATTTCACTGCTCCTAAGATGGAGCTGTAAATAAATCCTTAAACGTTTATCTTCTCTAAGAGAAATCCTTAGTGAATCCTTTGGTGAAGAAGAATATTCTCCTCTCTCTCGCAACTTGGATTTAAAACTCCAGGTGATGGTTATTTCTTGTTAACATTCACTGAGCCTTTCTTATGAACCTGCACTATCCTAAGCAATTTACATACCTTTTCCTACTTAAGTCTCCTTACAACCTCATGAAGTAGATACTAATAGTGTCCCTATTTCACAGGTGAGGAAGGAGAAGGTTTAGTTAATGAAGCATATACCCCAGGTTACAAGAATGGTAGCAAGTGAGTAGCAGAGCCCAGATTTAGTTCCAAATCTGACTCAGATTATTAACTGCTCCACTACTCTGCCTTTTACGTTTTCTCAAAGTGAGTGCAAAATTAAAATTATTTAGAGTCTGGTATCTTCTCAATAAGTAGGTCGTATTGTGATATTATGCTTGTGCCCCCACCACTTCCTGGGCTGTTTTTTTTTTTTTTTGGCAGCTGCCTATTGCCATATTCCTGGGCTGTTGTTATTAGGAGTCATACTCTTTCATTGCAAGAACAAGTGGCATTTGAAGAAACCGTGGAGGTGGTCTTTGGGAGAAGACACTGCAAGCTTGTGGGCACAGCTTTGTGTTCATATTAGAGCTGCTTGCTTCTAGGCGGGCTGCAAATCAGCGCTGCTGTCTTCTCCCTTATAAATATAGCCCATTCGAATTAGTGTTGATGACTACCTCATTTTTTATCTTTTGCATATCTCATGCCTCTATCATTAAAAAAAATACGAATGGCTACTCAAGTCAAGAATATCTTAAATTTAATGTATTCTAAAAAACATGCAGGGTCAACATGCATACTTTCGGAGTACGAAAATTACCTTTGTACAGGCAAAGTGTTATAGATGTACATGTTACATAAACTCACCAATGAAGAACTGACTTCATCCACAATAAGAATTTGCTGCTTTGGAAAGATGTCCCTTCTCCTCCCTAAAGGCACTGTCATCTCTTGTCAAGTAGAACTAAAAAAAATAGATGCTTTTTCAGTTTCTAAAAAAATAATTAATTGTTAATTTCTGGTCAACTACCAGTATAAAAATAATTTTTAATGTCATAATCTCTGAATTTATGAATTGTACTATGTCAAATTTTGCACCAATACAAAGAGAACTTTAGAAAACCATTTCATTTGTTTAGAACGAAATAAGCATTAAAGGCCAGGCGCGGTGGCTCACACCTGTGATCCCAATACTTTGGGAGGCCGAGGTGGGTGGATGACTTGAGGTCAGGAGTTGGAGACCAGCTTGGCCAACATGGTGAAACCTCATCTCTACTAAAAATACAAAATTAGCTGGGCATGGTGGCAGGCACCTGTAATCCCAGCTACTCAGAAGGCTGAGGCTGGAAAATTGCTTGAACCTGGGAGGCGGAGGTTGCAGTGAGCTGAGATCATGCTCCTGCTACTTCACTCCAGCCTGGGTGACAAAAAAAAAAAAAAAAAAAGAAGCATTAAAGTGATTGAGTTAGTATAATCTGGAAGCAAAGGGTGTAAGCTTTAGAGTTTGATTTCTAGTTCAGATCTCAAGGCTATTAATCATTTTCAGCTTGTGTGATCTTGGGTAAGTTACATAAAAATCTTTGGACTTCAGATTCTTTCCTATAAAATAGTACTTATTTTATGGGGCTGATGAAATGAGATGATGCTTATAAAACCCTCAGCACAGGGCTGGGCAGACTAAGAGATTAATAAACAAAAGCTATTGAAACCTCACAATTTGCTGTTAAGTATAAAGTGCTGGCCAGGTGTGGTGGCTCACGCTTGTAATCTCAGCACTTTGGGAGGCCAAGGCAGGCAGATCACTTGAGGCCAGGAGTTCAAGAGCAGCCTGGCCAATGTGGTGAAACCCTGTCTCTACTAAAAGTGCAAAAATTAGCTAGGTGTGGTGGCACACAACTGTAGTTCCAGCTACTCAGGAGGCTGAGACAGGAGAATCACTTGAACCCCTGGGGCAGAGGTTGTGGTGAGCTGAGCTTGGGTCACTGCACTCCAGCCTGGGTGGTAGAATAAGACTCTGTCTTTAAAAAAAATAAAATGCAGCCTACATTTTTATCAATTAACTTAGATTATATATACTCTGTGTGTGTGTGTGTGTGTGCGCGCGTGCACGCACGTGTGTGTGTGTGTGTGTTTAGTTTTAGTATAAACATTTTTCTACAGTACCTTTTGTTGACACGATCTGGCAACACTTACCATTTCTTAAAGTCAGGAATGGGACCCGCAGGCAGGCTGCCTCCACCACTTTGGCTCCTCCTGCTTCCTCAGCCACTGGCTTTCTGGTTCCATCCACTGCACCGGGGCAGTGACACAATGTTTATCTGCCCTTGGTTAGGAAAATAATTGGGCAATCTGCCTCAGTGATACATTTCTGCTGATTTCAGGTTTTTCTTTCAGTGGTGAATGACAAAGAAATCCAATTAGCAAGGAATGCTTTGGTTTGTCAAGTTTAGTTCCACAAGGCCTCCTGAACTGATTTTGGCTGTTTTGCTTGTTGTCATGTTAAATGTTTCAGAGGCTTTACGGTTTGAAGACAGTCTAAGCCAGAAATTGGAACGGGTACAGTATTCTGATAAATCTCTTTTGCAAATTAGAGTGTGTCATCTTTTGTTCAATAGTAATTCCGTTACACATGTGCTGTAGTACTAATACTATTAATAACAATAATAGAACATTTATTGAGTGCTTACTGTGTACCAGGCACTGTTTTAAGCATTTTACACATATGAACTCATTTAATCTTCCCTGTACTATTATTATTCCCATTTTACACTAGTGAAAAATACTGTAGTCTATATCTTACTTATTGTACATTATTAATTATTTTTATATTAATTTTTTTTTTGAGATGGAGTTTTGTTCTCATTGCCCAGGTTGGAGTGCAATGGCATGATCTTGGCTCACGGCAACCTCCACCTCCCAGGTTCAAGCAATTCTCCTGCCTCAGCCTCCCAAGTAGCTGGGATTACAGGCATGTGCCATCATGCCTGCCTAATTTTGTATTTTTTTTTTAGTAGGGATGGGATTTCTCCTGTTGGTCAGGCTGGACTCTAACTCCCAACCTCAGATGATCCGCCTGCCTTGGCCTCCCAAAGTGCTGGGATTATAGGCGTGAGCCACCGCACCTGGCCTTTTATATTAACTTTTAGAGAATATTTCGCATGATCAATTTTCTCTAGTTCTCAGTATACATTTATATTCCTGGAGATGGGAATGTTTAATAACCGCTCTGAGTTTGGAGGCTTATCTGATGTAAGGTGAGACCCTTGGATTAAGGATGCTTTACGGACCTCAGAGATACTGAAAGACAAGACTAACTTTTACAAGGCTAAGGACAATGAATAGGGCTAGAGGTTAGGAAGTTCTGCTCATGGATTCTGTAGTGGGGGAAGGTGGGGTTGAGACAGGGCCTTGCTATGTCACCCAGGCTGGAGTGCAGTGGCACCATCACGGCTCACTGCAGCCTCGACTTCTTGGACGAAAGCGATCCTCCCACTTTAGCCTCCTGATTAACTGGGACCATAAGCACACACACCTGGCTAATTTTGTGTGTGTAGAGATGGGGTTTCCCTATGTTGCCCAGGCTGATTTTGAACTCCTGGGTTCAACTCATCTTTCAAAGTGTTGAGATTACAGGTTTAAGCCACCATGCCTGGCCCGTGTATGGTTTTTTGTTTGTTTGTTTTTTGATGAAACGTTTTTATTCATTTCCAAGCCCAAACTACATGTGTATTTTTCAGGAATTATTAAAGTTCAGGGATTGGGTCTGAGGAGGGAGAATAGAGATGACCAGACTTCACCTTCAAATCTTCTGTGGGATGAGATAATGAGATAACAAAAGAAACCAACAAAGAAACCTAGGAGCCAGGCCTCCCAAACCTCCACTGCTGGAAGAGACCAGCAGCAGACACCCTTCGTCAAGAGTCCCTTCCTCAGCCTCTTCCAGAGTCCTGGAGACAGTTCCCTTCTGGATAACTTTTATTTGGAACAGAGCCTCTTGTCAGTAGAAGAGTCTTGGCCCGGCACGATTGCTCACACCTGTAATCCCAGCACTTTGGGAGGCTGAGGTGGGCAGATCATTTGAGGTCAAGGAGTTCGAGACCGGCACGATTGCTCACACCTGTAATCCCAGCACTTTGGGAGGCTGAGGTGGGCAGATCATTTGAGGTCAAGGAGTTCAAGACCAACATGGTGAAACCCTGTCTCTACTAAAAATAAAAAAAATTACCTGGGCGTGGTGGCAGATGCCTGTATTCCCAGCTACTCTGGAGGCTGAGGCAGGAGAATCGCTTGAACCTGGGAGGCAGAGGTTGCAGTGAGCTGAGATCGTGCCACTGCACTACAGCCTGGGCAACAAGAAAAAAAAAAGTCGTTATTCGGAATAAACCTTCATGTACTGTCAGGTCATGTTCTCAGGGACACATGGGGCTGAGTAGACCATTCTCTTCAATGGAGAATGGGACAAGTACACAGAGGAGGTCAGCCCTGGCTTTTTAGTGGCCAAGGGACTTGTGTGTATCACAGAGTAGAGCAGCCTTCAGTGCTGGGTGGGAGCGCATGCTTGCAGAAGTGGGGTCTGTGCACTCCTGAGGGCTGCCTGCGATTCACTCCAGGAAGGAGGCCTTGACAGCGAAGATCCTGAAGGGGAACGGGGACGCTCCTGTGCCATGAGGGGGTAATAGGAATGATCTTGCACCCTTTATGATGGCTGTGAGGAAAAAGAGAGGATTAAATAGCTTTATCCCAAGGTTAGGGAAATGAAGCTGGAGGGCTGAATGAGGGATGAGCTCACATCACGAAATGAAAAGCAGGAAGCATCTTCAAGGGCAGGGTTGCCCCAAGCCTGTGCTTCGGGACCTTGCACCTGGTTAGTATGGAATCTGCCCTGCAAGGTGCCTTTGGGCACGTACTCGAAGGTGTTCACGTCCACTGCAGCGAACACACCCCACAGCAGCCAAGGCCCTTATCAATGAGTCAGCAGGACACTGGCGACCCTGAGGGCCCGCAGACGAGGGGTGTCTGGGTGAATCCCACCTTTGCGCGGGGAGGGGGTCTGCGAAGATTGACATCCAGACACGCCCCCTCTCCTCTGCAGCGCCCCTCTCTGCACAGTCCTGTCCCAGAAGCAGAGACATCGGCTCGTGGCCACCTGCCAAGTCAGGCCGAGGCCGCGAGGGAGGGGAAAGGAGGAAAGGAGCCGCGGGAAGCGGCGCACGGGCTGTTCAGATACTGCCGCCGCCACTCCTTTAGACTCTGGCCGTGCGGGGACTGGCTGGGCTCGGCCTCGAGATATAAAAAGCGGCGGAGCCGGGCCGGCGAGACAGCCCAGGAGGCGGGTACCGGTCCTCGCGGATCCGCGCCGCGCCCCCACCTGTGGCTGCGCGCGGGCGGGCTGTGCTTCCCGGGGCGGCGCCCGGTGCCAGCAGCTAGTGGCGAGATGGGCCGCTATTCGGGCAAGACGTGCCGGCTGCTCTTCATGCTGGTGCTCACCGTCGCCTTCTTCGTGGCGGAGCTGGTCTCCGGCTACCTGGGCAACTCCATCGCGCTGCTCTCCGACTCCTTCAACATGCTCTCCGACCTGATCTCGCTGTGCGTGGGCCTGAGCGCCGGCTACATCGCCCGGCGCCCCACCGGGGACTTCCACGCCACCTACGGCTACGCCCGGGCCGAGGTGGTGGGCGCGCTGAGCAACGCCGTGTTCCTCACCGCGCTCTGCTTCACCATCTTCGTGGAGGCCGTGCTGCGCCTGGCCCGGCCCGAGCGCATCGATGACCCGGAGCTGGTGCTCATCGTCGGCGCCCTGGGGCTGTTGGTCAACGTGGTGGGGCTGCTCATCTTCCAGGACTGCGCCGCCTGGTTCTCGTGCTGCGGGCGGGGTCGCGGTCGCCGCCTGCAGCAGCGTCAGCAGCTGGCGGAGGACTGCGCTCCCGGTGCTTTCCCGGGACCCCAGGGCCCGGAGAACCTGCGGGGCGCATCGGCCCCGACAGCCCCCGGCTTGGACTCGGTCGTAACCCTTCGGGGGACCTCGGTGGAAAGAAAGCAGGAGAAGGGGGCGACCGTGTTCTCAAACGTAGCAGGTGCCTTTCGGTTGCATCCTCTGGACCGCTTGGCCCTTCCTTCCTCCTCCCACCCGGTCCCTTTCCCTTTCTTCTCACCCCACGTCCTCTTTTTCTTCTGCATGTTTTTTTTTTTTTAATTAACATATTCTCTATCCTTTCTTTTTTCTCCTGGATCCTCGGGTAGCCCTAGTCTCTTTTCCCTTCCCCTCTTCTCTCTATAAAAGTATTGATTTTCTTTGGAATCAGTCATTATTAGGCAGCACTCTTTAACCCCTCCTCCCTCTCGTTAGTTGCTATCTGAATTTTGTTTTTCTCCCTTTCTCTTTGCCCATCTGTTTGTCCTCTTGGGTATTACAGGTTTGGGGCTGCAGGTGGGCTCCCATTTGCCCTCTTTTTGTTTTAACTTGAAAGGATGTGTGAATGAAGTCCAAAGGTGTATCTCAAGGCTGTTTCAAGGCCAAATGTACTGTTCTGAGCTGTGTGTGCAGAGGAAGGGTCTCCCTTAAGCTAGTAGGAGTTTGAAATAACAAAACTTTATTTTGAGTCCATTGGTTTTTTTGTTTGTTTGTTTGTAGAACTTATACACAACACAAGGTTTCTTCTTTGAATGCAGGTGATTCCTTCAACACCCAGAATGAGCCAGAAGAGATGATGAAAAAAGAGAAAAAGTCTGAAGCTCTGAATATCAGAGGTAGGATTGACTTTGGGCCTATTTGAAATCGCTTTCTATGACACATATGGACTGTGCTGTAAATTTCTCTTTGACATTAATAAGGCAAAGTTGTGTTTGAAAGTAGGCCAGTTACATGCATAGACTATGACCTGACTCTCTTTTGCAATCGCTGCATTGATCCTGGAGAGAAGCTGGCTGCTAATGATTTATCTCAGCTCCACTTAGACCCGTGCTAATACTGCCTGCTCCAGAACTGCACATGTCAACGTTATGTTACTACTTTACTTGGTTTCACTAGTCCATAGATACTGCTAACAAATAGTGAAGCCTATTTTAATTGAATGTGCTTTTGATAAAGGTAGGAAAACAGTAGGTGAGCTGCTATCCAAGGTTGTGTCCTATCTGGCATTGCCGAATGACCCTGTTGCATCAGTTATTTCTGCCAGAAATCTGCCTTTGTGAAGGCACTGTTGGCTCACTAAAACCTCCACTCCCATGACCAAAGGGAGTGTTCTGGTGAGGCCCATGGCAGGCACCTAACTAGCATTCTTCTCACTACGCGGTCAAGGTCAGAAGCACTGAACTAAGGTCAGCCCAGGGGTTTTTGAGATGTGTTTCTCGCTGGACACCATTGTATCCAACATCTCTCCTTTCCAACTTCTTCGGCACAGATTTCACTTCAGAGTAATTCCAGAAGGGGTTAATCCCCAATCTTGATTTTGAGAATTCCAACAAGGATTAAGCAACCCTTTACTTTCCTGTGTATTGGGGAAAGCCTGTAAGTGGGGTTTAGATGGAAATAATATAATGAAAAATTAATAATTTAGGAGATATCTTCACTTTGAGTGTCTCACATCTGTTTTAAAAAGTAATTTTCAGAATGAACCAATAAGGAAAATCCAGAAGAGAACAACAATAACATATGAGCTCCGAAAAATTTCTAAATTAACCAAATTTAAATGCAACAGGGAAATTTGCTCTCCAAAAGAGCTTAGTAGAAAGCTTTTAAAAGAAAATCTGTAATAAAAAACCAGCACTTTGTGAGGCCGAGGCGGGTGGATCACGAGGTCAACAGATCGAGACCATACTGGTCAACATGGTGAAACCCTGTCTCTACTAAAAATACAAAACATTAGCTGGGCTCGGTGGCATGTGCGTGTAATCCCAGCTACTCAGGAAGCTGAGGCAGGAGAATTGCCTGAACCCAGGAGGCGGAGGTTGCGGTGAGCTGAGATCGCGCCATTGCACTCCAGCCTGGGTAACAAGAGCGAAACTCCGTCTCAAAAAAAAAAGAAAAAATCATCATCATTTATCTTTCTTTTATATGGTTCAGTTTAAAAATATATCCATTGGGCTAGGCTTGGTGGCTCACACCTGTAATCCTAGCACTTTGGGAAGCTGAGGTAGGTGGGTCACCTGAGGTCAGGCGTTGGAGACCAGCCTGGCGAAACCCCGTCTCTACTAAAAAGACAAAAACTAGCCAGGTGTGACTGGGGGGGTCCTGTAATCCCAGATACTTGGGAGGTGGAGGCAGGAGAATTGCTTGAACCCAGGAGGTGGAGGTTGCAGTGAGCTGAGATCATGCCACTGCACTGCAGCCTGGGAGACTGAGTGAGACTCATATGTAACCATATGTAATTGAGACAGTCTCACGCAGTCTCCCAGGCTGCAGTGCAGTGAGTGGAACAATATGTATACGTGCATATACACATAAGTTTTAAGGTGGAGTTCACCATCAGAGACTTTAACTTTTGAAAACATGCTCTGTTACGTATCCTCATTCTTTTTTTCTTCTTTGAGATGGAGTCCCTCTCTGTCTCCCAGGCTGGAGTACAGTGGCACAATCTCTGCTCACTGCAACCTCCACTTCCCAGGTTCAAGCGATTCTCATGCCTCAGTCTCCCAAGTAGCTGGGATTAGAGGTGTGCACCACCACGCCTGGCTGATTTTTGTATTTTTAGCAGAAACGATATTTCACCATGTTGGCCAGGCTGGTCTTGAGCAGGCAATCTGCCTGCCTTGGCCTCCCTTAGTGCTGGGATTTCAGGCCTGAGCTACTGCACCCAGCCAAGTATCCTCAACCTTACATTACAACGTTGAGAAAGAGAATAGGTAGGCGGAATGAAGCAAAGAAGAATGAAGAGTAGGCCCTCATCGATATGGTGATCTTGTTTGAGAAACTTGTATGATCTTGACAAATTTTAGTCCAAAGCTATTGAAGTTTCTTGGTAGAAAAATGTCAGTAGTAGAACGCCTTGCTGTACCTGGCTGGGCCCTTGGTTTACAGGTACTGACACCAGTGCATCTCTAGCTTCTGATAGATATGAATAGTGCAGTGGCTGAAGACTAGGATTTGGCTTCAAACTGCCTGAGTGTGAATCATGGCTCTGCCACCGAAGAACCATGTGACTTTGGGCAAGTTATTGAACCTCTCTAAGCCTCCAATCCCCTCATCTTTAAAATGAGGATAATTACAGTACTCACCTTATGGAATTGCTTTGAAATAAGTGAAATCTATAAAGTTTAGGCTTACAGTAGGAAAACTAGCTGATGCTTTGATTGAGTACAGACTTTGTCCCTGGTACCATTCATGAATGAGTCAGCGTGGTAGTCACACAATCTTACTGAGTGAACACAATTGTTGTTCAGGTAGTGGGTGGAATTGCAGGGCTCAAACCCACAGTGCTTCCGTGTTAGCTGAGATCATTCCTGCTGCTTTTGACGAGGACATGTCCTGTGGCTAATTGGAGCCTTTCCGTATTTCCGGCTAAGTGTGAGGCTGGCCTCCCCTTTGGTGCTGTGTCCTTATCTTGGAGCCATAATTCCCGGAAGGATCATAGAATGAGGCTTGGAAAGACCTTAGGGAAAATGGACTTCAACCTTTGACTTCACAGATGAGGACGCAGAGTGCAGAGTTTGATGACTTCCCTAAGTCACACCAGCACATAGAAGTGACAAGGCTAGAATCCTGGACTCTTACATCACATTTCTGGCGCTTTCCGTGATCACACATTCCCTCTAGACTCCAGGCACAGATGGCTTGCTTCCCTAGTACACAGTCACTGAATGGTTATGTTTCTAACATTTAAGCAACCGCTTTAGAAAGTAGGACTATGTCCTGCTCTCCAGATCTGCAGAGGAAATATCCTATGGGGATCTCTGCAAACAAAAAAACGATTTCTTCATTTTCTTTACTGTTTCTCTTATTCCAATGGGAATAGGAAAATGAGTTTTTTTGTATTTTTTTTTTTTTTTTTTGAGTGATGAAGTCTTGCTCTGTAGCCCAGGCTGGAGTGCAGTGGCATGATCTTGGCTCACTGCAACCTCCAACTCCCAGGTTTAAGCGATTCTCCTGCTGCAGCCTGCAGAGTAGCTGGGGTTACAGGCATATGCCACAGCACCTGGCTAATTTTTTGTATTTTTGGTAGAGAAGAGGTTTCACCATGTTGGCCAGGCTGGTGTTGAACTCCCAACCTCAGGTAATCCCCTCACGTCAGCCTCCCAAAGTATTAGGATCACAGGTGTGAGCCACCGCACCTGCCAAAAAAATGAATTCTAAGCAACACACTCTGTCTTCTACTGTAAAGTATGATAAAAACACAATCCTCTTAAAATACTTATCAATGTGCTTTGTAGTGGTCAATTTTATTTAATAGAACCAAATATGATACATTAAAGATGTAACAATATGTCAGAAAGACAATTAGCTTTTTAAAGTTTGGTGTAAACATAAATAGACAAATAGCCATCTTGACATCCCTTGAAAAGAAATCCCCTTTGATGAGATGTTTCTTCGCAATTCTTGCTTTTTCATCTCATCTCTTCATTACCATTTGCCTGGTACAAATGCACTATTTCCAGTCATTCAACAAATTAGACAGCACCGATGGCTTTCGTAAGTTCTGGGCCACACCAAATTTCAACTTGTGTCAAATTGCCAGTTTATGTTATACGCCAGTTTTTTGGGGGTTTCATTTTAATCTAAAGGCAGCAAGTGAGGGCCAAGTACAGAGGTTTCCTGCCTTTGCAAAGCTGCCTTGAGAGCATTATGACTAGTCAGGTGATTGAGTTGTCTACTAGGTGGTGATCTTTGTGTGTCTCAGATGCTGCTGCCAGATTTATCTTTCTGAATCATAGATGTGTGATCACATCGGAGTCTGATCCAAGCCTTTACTGCATCCAGGATATGGTCTAAACACTGCTGACATTCAAGAGCTTGCCGTTTTGGTACCAATATTCCTTTCTAGACATTTCTGCCCTTCCCTTCCCTCCTTCGTGGCCTCACCTCCACCACCAGCTCTTTACTCTCTCTCTGCATATCCACTGACATTTAATGTACAACTGTAGTGAGGTGAGAAGCACTTAGACCCTGTGGTCAGGCAGATCTGGTTAGAGTTCGGCCTCTCTTTTCCTAGCGAGGTGACCTGGGGCAAGGAACTTCATCTCCTTGAGATTCAGTCCCCTCATCTATACAATGGAGCTAATAAGACCAACATCACCGTGTTGTGCTGATCACATGGGCGGTTAGAACAGCACAGAGGACCCACCTACAAATGGTGCCTGTTACCATCGTCACCACCTCGTGGTCATTCTCAGGGGGTTTTCAGACATTTTTAAACATACTCTTCAGAACTAGCCTCTGAGGGAAGCGAGGCAGATACTATTACTACCCCATTTCACAGATGAGAATCTTGCTCCTCAGAGAGGTTGCCTTTCATAAGGTCCGTGGCTCATAGCAACAGCGTCAGGGTCTGTGAGTCTAGATTGAGCGCATCAGCCCCGAGCGTTGCCCCACGAGCACGTCTCCATCTGCAGTTTCCCGTGAGGCTCCTGCGAGGTGTTCCTGTCTGAAATGCCTTCTCCTCTGGCTGCCTGTTGAAGTCTGCCTCCTCTCCAGAGTCCTGCCCAAATTACCTACCTCTCAACAAGACCTTCCTGAGATTTCTCATCACAGGAGACTCTTTTCCTCCCTGAGGAGGTTATCAATGTATTTATTTCAGCATCTTTTACTTTGAGAGGCTGAGGCGAGAGGATTACTTGAGGCTGGGAGTTTGAGACCAGCCCAGGCAAAAGAGCAAACTCCTGTCCCTGTAAAAAAAAAAGAAAAGAAAAAAAAAGAAAAAAATTAAAAAATTTCTTGAAAAAGTAAAAAAATTAGCTGGTGCAGTGGCACAAACTTGTAGTCCTAACTACTTGGGAGGCTGAGGTGGCAGGATCATTTGAGCCCTGGAGTTTGAATTTAGAGTGAGCTATGATTATGCCACCGTACTCCAGCCTGGGTGACAGAGGGAAACCCCACCTCTCTCCTCTCTCTCTCTCTCTGTCAATCTCTCTCTCTCTCTCAGTCTCTCTCTCTCTCTCTCTCTCTCTCTCTCACACACACACGCACGCACACACACACAGACACGGAATTTTGCTAGTGCACTGTTGTTAATGATCATAACCATGCCTTCTTCATCTTTGCATGGGCGGTGAGAAGACACACTGCATTATGAAATCTCAGGAACTGAGTGGGAGGCTGGTTTAAACAGTTTTTCAGACTGAAGACCATGACAGTTTGGGCCCTAGAATTAGTTTAATAGAAAATTAATTAAAATAGAATGAAATAGAATAGATAATAGTAAGAAATCATATATAAGGGTGAGTTTTGCTTTCCCACAAATTATTTGTTTCAATTTGTATCTCTGTCTGTGCTAGGATGCAAAACATAATTCTTACTGTGGATTATGGGAAAAATGAGTTTGAAAGTTACTATTTTATGTAATTCTTGGGGACTAATAGTGGGATTTCTCAGAAGGAAAAGCTGAATTTGGAGTTTAGAACTTATACAAGGCAAGATGCACAGTAGATCCCTGGACCGGCTACCCGGATTGTTAACCCCACTTAACACTGTTTAGTTGTGTGATTTTGGACAAGTTACTTACGTATTCTGTGCCTCAGTTTCCTCATTTGTAACATGAAGAGAGTACCAATCAGAAATACTCAGAAGGGTCCGATTCCAATTTTCAAGAGTTTATTCAAGTGAAAAGCTGGGAATGGCCATTCGGGGTTCATCACTCCAGAGAAATGGGGATAGGGTTCCAAAGTTAAAAGCTAAATTCTTGCTTATATAAGGAGAAGAACAAGAAATTTAACAGGGTTATAACATTTTCTATACAAGACTTGTTTAGAAGTTAGAAAAATTAGTTAGAATTTGTTTTCCATGTGGCTTGTTTTCTTTATAGCTGTTTTCCATTTCCTTTCCAACTTAAAAGAGTGTATTTAACATTCCGTATTAAAGGACTGTGATAGCCATGATGTCATGTATGAGAAGGTAAGAGGGAGAATGAAAATCAACAATAAGTGAACAGGGGGGTCCTCCCTGGGGCCCTTTGCCATTTACAACATTTTACAGAGCAATGCAGGTAAGGAAAAAGACTTAATTCAGACATGCAAAAGCTTACAGCTGCCTGTCACATAGCTCAGGCCCTGTAATTCACATTCCTTGAAGGCTCAAAGTACTTTTGAGTTCCAACAGCTTAGATTTTGCATTACTTATTTTCACAAGGTAACCACCTTGCAGTCCTAATGAGGACTTAATGTGTAAATATATGTAACATGCTTAAAACAATGCCTGGAGCATATGTGTTTATTAACATAATACTAACAATGGTTATTTTATTTATTTATTTTTTTGAGACAGAGTTTCCTGTTACCCAGGCTGGGGTGCAATGGCGCCATCTCGGCTCACCTCAACCTCTGCCTCCCTGGGTTCAGGCAATTCTCCTGCCTCAGCCTCCTGAGTAGCTGGGATTACAGGCACACGCCACCATGCAGCTAATTTTTTGTATTTTTAGTAGAGACGGGGTTTCACCATGTTGACCAGGATGGTCTCGATCTCTTGACCTCGTGATCCACCCGCCTCGGCCTCCCAAAGTGCTGGGATTACAGGCATGAGTTACTGTATGTCATGAGAGTTATGATGATCAACCAGAAGCTCCTGTTTTATTGAATGCCTACATTGCTATTATGGCATTACGGCATTGCTATTACAGAGGAAATGGATCTGACATGTATGAGACAATCAAAGAATAACCGACTGTGTCAGGCAGTAAAAATGACATCACTTGTGCACAGGAAACATTAGGCTTTCATATTTTTTTTTTCTCTTTTCTCTTCTTTTTTTCCCTTATCTCAAAAGAGACGAAGGCTTTCATATATTTATGGTAGCATTTTGTACTGTCTTGAAGAAATTTAAAAGTTGGGTCTTTAGCTTCTTATAGAGGAGCAAAGTACATAGAATATCTCTTGGGAAAGTTGTGTTTCCCTCCTGTGGTTCAGCACAGGGATTGGGGAGTTAAAAGCTCCTTTGGGCATCGGATGTTGGGAGAAAGAGGCACAGCATTAGAAAACGGGAATGTTAATGTGTATATTGAATCGGGATCTTATAAATAAACACTCAGCCAAAAGGAAATGTGGAAATTCTTTCTATTCCTGTTTTTTTTTGGGAAAAATTTGAGTCAATTGCCTCAAATTACATTTAGTGTTCACAGAATGCCATTTTCTCTATGATGTTATTTAGAATTGTGGAGGTGTTGCCCAGAAGAGGGATTCGCCCAATTGACGCTCCTTCCAAATGAGACTGTCTTAGCTGCAAGTTGTCAGTGTTAGCCATGAGTAGGTTGTTAGTAATTTGGATTATTATTCATTCTACTGCATAAGTCTGCGGAATACACGGAGAGACAAAGCAGACCCCTCTTAATATACTTGCTTTCTTCTACAGCAGTGCTTTGGAAACTTGTATGTGCATTCCAATCACCTGGGCATCTTTTTAAAATGCAGGTTCAGATTCTACAGATCTGAGGTGGGGCCTGAGAATCGGCATTTCTAACAAGCTCCATGCTGATGCTGATGCTGCTGGTTTGCAAGCTATACTTTGAATTGCCACATTCTGATGTTGCTTTCTGTAAAAAACAAACCCCAGAAAAACCAAAACCCAAAACTTTGTGTTTATATCTTAAAATTTTTCTGTCCAAATTTTCACCTAATTTACTTACTAAATCCCAGTTTAATCTTTGCCTATCAATTGGGCACTCAGATCTTTGCTGAGGAATGCGTATGTTCTATATCATAGTCAGTGTCTTTAAAAACAATTCCTTTAATTAAAGGCACCCACAATTTTTAGTATTATCTGTAGAATTTAAATTTTATTGCATTATGATGAATGGCTCTTTCTGCAGTGAAAATGTTCCCGGAGTCCCTGTTCTTGGGCACCTCTTAAACAAAATGCTGTTTAAATGACCACAGGCTAAATAAAAAGTACGTAAATGCTTACAGGGAAAATGGAAGGTGGATCAAGGTAGAAAAGAGACAAATTTTTTTAAACATTCTTTAACATAACTTGTTCACTATCCCCTTAAAAATATTTAAAACCATGTAAAGCACAGATACTTGTCTGAAAGAAAAAGAAATCATTTGCACAGCCTCTGTTTTCTAGCTTGGTGCCCTCTGATGGGTGGTGGGTGATAGTGATGTGGCCCTGTGAGACGGCACAGTCCCTCTTCCTGCAGGCGACTATGAGCTCAGAATCTCCCTAAGCTGTCGCTCTTCCAAGGTACTCTGAGTCCTGAGATGGTGGCCTGGGTTTCTGTTTCCTAAGAAGTAGTTGCCATTATTTTGATTCATCCTGCTGTTCTAACCAAAACCAAAACCAAAAAACTCCAAATGGTAACAGGTATTCATATACTTGGAAATCCAAGTCAGTGAGTGCCGCATGGCTTCAGATTTGCCTCTGTGCTGAAGCCGTCTTTCTTCCTTCCTGGCAGGTGTACTTTTGCATGTGATGGGAGATGCCCTGGGGTCCGTGGTTGTGGTCATCACGGCCATCATATTCTATGTGCTTCCCCTGAGGAGTGAGGACCCATGTAACTGGCAGTGTTACATTGACCCCAGCCTGACTGTCCTCATGGTCATCATCATTCTGTCATCTGCCTTCCCGCTCATCAAGGAGACCGGTGCCATTCTGCTGCAGATGGTCCCCAAAGGAGTCAACCTGGAAGAGCTGAGTAAGTAGATGGAATTGTGATTCAGAACCACTCTCAATTTAATGTTATCAGGCCAAAGGACAAGATTATTTAAGAGCAGTGTTTGCTTAATGTTTTCTGAAACACCTTAAATCACCAGGTGGTAGAGACATCCATCATATGGTTTATAGCCTATTAAGATGACTCAACTCCAAGCACCAAAGGACCTTTGCAACTGTGATTCTCTGACTCAACTGTAAATTTTTAAGAATGCAGTGCCTAGATAATACCTATTCCTCGGTTATTTATTTTCATGTCAAAGATTTATTTTAATTCAAATAAGGCCATTTCTGCCAAGTACTCTATTTTAATCTCCTCCTTATTCTAAAAGCACAATCATTCATGTTCTAGACCCTGCTTTCTAGTTAATGTGGACACACAAGTCCCTGTGTCTCTCACAACACTGCCCAGTGCTTCAGGCAGAGCAGGCATGGGAAAGGGAAGGAGACAGAGGAACAGACATACAGCATTGCCTTTGCCTTCCCAGGAGCTAGTTCATCTCCCAGTTGGAAATAAGATAAACATATACGAAGAAATTTGTGATATATACTGGGTATGTTTTTAATAAAGTAATATATTTAAAAACAGATATTTTTAAAAATAGAGGGCTAGTTGCTTGTAGTCTCACCACTTTGGGAGGCTGAAGCAGAAGGATCGACTGAGGCCAGGAGTTCAAGAGCAGTGTGAGCAACAGAGTGAGACCTCATTTTTACAAAAATAAAAAAATCACTTTTATAAATAAATGAAAAAGTAAAAGTTATACTGTGTGGCTGTGGTCCCAGCTACTCAGTAGGCTGAGGTGAGAGGATCACTGGAGCCCAGGAGTGTGAGGCAACAGTGAGCCATAAACATGCCACTGTACTCCAGCCTGGGAGACAGGACAGTCTCTACAAAAACAAAAAACCTCACAGGATCATAATAACACTATTTTGAAAATAGCACTATTTTCATAGCATTTATTGCATGCTAGAAAGGTAAGTGTTCTAAGTGCTTTACGTATAATAATGCATTTTCATCCTTAAAATAATACAAAAGCCACTATTATCATTTCCATTGCACAGATAAGGAAACTGAGGCACAGAGAGGTTAGGTAATTGTTTAAGATCATGCAGTTAGTAAATGTCTGAACTAGGATTCAGACTAGCTGACTGCAGAGCCTTTGCTCAAATCCGTATTGAATACCATCTCTCTAAATACATATTCATTTTGGAAAGTATAGAAAATATAGAGGAGCCTAAATAAGAAAATAGAAATCTCTCTTAATTTGACAGTGAAAATGACCACTGTTAATATTTTTCTATGTGCAGTGTAAAAAGAAAGATCCACCCATATACACAGTTTAGCAATTTGCTTCTTCACTTAAAAATACCTTATGTACATTTTATCATATCCTTAAATATGCAACTTACTTTTAAACAATTGTATCCTATTCCATTACATAATCGTTTTCACTATTTCCTTGTTGGGTCCATCTTTTTCATGAATACAAAGAGCATTGTCCAAACCATTCTTGTACATAAATATTTGGTTATTTCTTTTAGGTTAAACTCTCAGTAGTAGAATTGCTAGTAAAGGCTTTTTTTTTTTTTTTTTTAATCCATGTTGCCAAATCATCCCTTTTAAGAAAAGGCAATCAAGGCATGGTGGCTCACACCTATAATCCCAGCACTTTGAGAGGCCGAGGTGGGCAGATCACAAGGTCAGGAGTTCGAGACCAGCCTGACCAACATGGTGAAAACCCGTCTCTCCTAAAATACAAAAATTAGCCAGGTGTGGTGGCATGTGCCTGTAATCCCAGCTGGATCAGGAGGCTGAGGCAGGAGAATCGCTTGAACCTGGGAGGTGGAGGTTGTGGTGAGCCGAGATCACGCCACTGCACTGGGGGACAGAGCAAGACTTCATCTCAAAAAAAAAAAAAAAAAGCATTGCACTTTATATGACTACGGGAAGTTCATTCAAGTGTCCATTCCCTTGTATACTCAGCAACCCTGGGGACTTTTTTCTTGTCTTTAGGCTTCTTTTCTTAAATGACTTTGTATGGGCTAACGATGTGTGGAGAAAGGTTAAGGGCAAGACTTCCAGTGGTACAACTATTTTGTTCTTCCTGCTGTTCTTAATAAGTATGCAGCCATTTTGGTGAGAATACTTAAAGGAACCACATCCCTCCCGTAGGTCCATGTCTCAAACGCAGTACTCACCTTGGCTTCTGTTTGCTCTCCTCTGTTCTAGTGAGTAAACTCTCTGCTGTGCCTGGAATTAGCAGTGTACATGAAGTACACATCTGGGAACTTGTAAGTGGAAAGATTATTGCCACCCTGCATATCAAGTATCCTAAGGACAGGGGATATCAAGACGCTAGCACTAAAATTCGAGAAATCTTCCACAGTGCGGGAATCCACAATGTCACCATCCAGTTTGAAACTGTGGACTTGAAGGAACCCCTGGAGCAGAAGGACGTACTGTGGCTGTGCAACTCCCCCTGCATCTCCAAGGGCTGTGCTAAGCAGCTGTGTTGTCCCCCTGGGGCACTGCCTCTGGCCCATGTCAATGGCTGTGCTGAGCACAATGGTGGGCCCTCTCTAGACACATACGGAAGTGATGGCCTCTGTAGAAGAGACACAATGGAAGTGGCTATTGAAGTGTCTTTGGACAGCTGTCGGAGTGACCACGGACAAACTCTTAACAAAACTCAGGAGGACCAATGTCATGTCAACAGCACGCACTTTTAATCTGGTACCCACGTAATCAGACTGTATAGACAATGCACTTTGGAACCACCAGCGTGGCTCATAAGAAGAGCTTCGTGGGTTGTAGGCTCAGACCAGAGTTGCAGTGTGCACGCTCTGTGTTCACTAGGGGTTGGCTGTTTGGGATTTTAGTTAAACATGTCTGCGAATTTTATGTAACTGGTAACCCCTTTCTATTCCCGAGTGTGTCATGCTGCTTTTTGACTGTTTCAGCTTGAACATGCGTTTCTCTAAAGCAAACTGCACTAGTGTGTGTATCAGGGACGTTCACGTCTGGGCCTGGGACTCAGTAACTGCAGATACATTGTTCAAAGAAGTTCTTGTCTCTAAACTGATGAGAACTTCTAGCTGATGCTCAGGTGAGATCATAGCTTAAATACATTGAAAAAACTAAAGTACCACAGTAGCTATATTTTCCCCATTCCCCTTAATGATCATAAAAGAGGCAAGTTAAGTATTTCTGGCACTAAAGAAATATCTTTTTTCTTTGATTCATTTTTGAATAAATGTAAAATGAATAACTCTTAAGGTAGAAAATATTATCAGAGCATTGTATAGGAGGTAAAGGTTAGTAGGGTTTTTTTTTGTTCATCTCTACTTTTTGTGAGGTGAGAGATAACAAATGTTTACTTTCTGCTGTGAACTGAACTGCAGCTATAGGATGTTTCAAAGGTTTAAATATATAATACATCTTTTTCACATGGAAGTGAGGGGCTATTTCAGCTTCCTCAAGTATGACAGATACTCATGCTGTCTTTCAGAGTCAGTACAGTTGGGGCTGTTTTCATTTAGTGCTTTGATAATGATTTACTTATTTTTCCAAATTTCCTTTGACTTTTCTTTCATAGGATCTCATTGGTCTATGCAGCATTTACCAGAAAAGCATATTCCTGGGATAGCAGAATGAATAACATTGAGTATTAATTCTTGTCAAATAAATAAGCTAGACTGCATTCTCTTTAATCAGACATATTTTAAAGTATTTACTATAGTTGTCAACTAGTGACTCAATGGAAAAGTTGATGTCCAAGGGAGAAATGAGAATTAGCTTACTTGCTGCGTTTGATGTGCTTTTGAGGAACTTAAAATTTTCTTTTATGTCTCTGATCCATATTACCAAGTTCAAATAAAATTTTTATCATCAGATTCAGACCCATAACCGAACTATATTGGTAGTAGAGAAGCATCTGTCATGTATTTAACACATTGTTCAGACATCAATATTTAAATAAGAAGTCTCACAGGTATGAGAAAATGGGAAGTTCCTCACCGGACAACTAGTATCGTCTTTGGTAGATTGCAAGATTGTCTGAAAATCACCATCTCTTAGCATGTAAAGTCCTGTTTAGAATCTGCACAGGATTTATCAGAGGTGCTGGGTTGATAATGAAGACAGCATCCATGATTTTTCAGAACAAACATCATATTTAAACAATTTATCTTAGTCCTAAATTTGAAGGCTGAAATAAATGGCTATGATCAGTAGGATAGAATTTTTTTTGCAGAAACAGGGTCTCGCTATGTTGCCCAGTCTGTAGAAACAGGGTCTCGCTATGTTGTCCAGTCTGTAGAAACAGGGTCTTGCTATGTTGCCCAGGCTGGCCTTGAACAGCTAACCTCAAGTGATTCTCCTGCCTCGGTCTCCCAAAGCCCTGGGAGAACAGGCATGAGCCACTGCACCTGTCCAGGAAATTCTTTATTCCTTGAAAATGTATTTTCTGAGTTTAAACTGGCTGTGAATTAGGTACATAGAAAAATGCCTAAAAATGTTTTTATTTCTAGGAGCTTATTGGGCTAGGTTATATGCACTTTATAAGCTCAAAGGGGTTAATAAGTAAGACATTTATCTTTTTAGTATTAAAAGTGTGGCATGTACTCACTCAAAACAGTGAAACCTCTAAGAAACTCAGCATGGAGATAAGTGGGCCAGATTCTTTTATATAAACATTGGTTGAAATGCCTTAGACCAAGCCAAAAAAGAAATTTTTCTCTGACGTCCAAATCTGAAGGTCTTATTTTATTTCACATCATTTTGCCTTTATTAAAAAGGAAAAATTATAATTTCACAGTTTTTGTGCAACTGGCTGAAGGAATGCATATTAGTTTGCATTTAAACACTGTTCTTTAATCTCTAAAATATTTTTCTGGATAAGAAAAGGCACTTAATTCCACTATAATTAAACCTAACTTTAGAAAACTATCCTGATAGACACTTACCAGATTATGGCCTGGAGGCAATGTGAAATAATACCTTTTTAAGGCAGTTCGGCTGAGTGCATTTAATAATGTCCAATCAAGCTAAGCGCAATTATTTTGTATTGGGTTGGCTGGCTTGCATTTGCTACCTCTGGCTCTGCCATGCCTGCTGTATGCTATTTTCACTTGCATTTCACTCTCTCTTTAATCGTCCTGCCTTTTAATTCTCCCAGGAAAATACAAGAGTCTTCTTTTTCCCTTTGAATTAGCCCTGCTTTGGAGGCAGTAGCAGCTGATGAACAGTAGATTTAATTCCTTTAATATTAGAAAAACACTGCCACCCAGTTTGGTGCTCCTGTATGCTTAGGTTTTGTACAACCCGGCCCCCACCCCACCCCTGCCACCAACCCCACACCATATGTTTAAACATAATGTTTAAATAGTTTGTGTGTTAGGTCAGGGACCAGTTGTCCTGTGTGCTAACCTGGCCTTCTACACACACCTACTGCACTTTTGTTTCTATAGAAACAGTCCTTTCCACATTATTTTAGCATTGGCTATAGGAAATACTATATCTGCTTCATTTCCTGACTCCCAGCATTACTTTTGAAAATATAGGTTAATTTTTTAATGATATTGGGCCATTATGAATACCCACAGAGATACCAGGCTCCATTGTTGACAGAAAAAAAAATTGCTCTCTAATTTCTTGATAAAATATCAATAAAACAGATAGACATTATTTGAGGAAGAATTAAGAATATTCTCTTCTCCATATTTAGTTCTCTCTTTTTTTTTTTTTTTTTTTTTTTTTGTCGTTGGCTGAGCAAATTCCAGTAGCGGTAAACAAAAACCTCTAAAGTTCAGTAGGAATAGATGTTTTGAATGTCAAGGACATCACTCAGGTAGATTTGGGATTACAGTGAGACAGCTGCCCTGTGAGGTCATAGGAACATTTGTGAGGGTTACTCCAGGGGTTCAGTCTTGGCATTATTTACATTTTGCATTGGATGTGTTCCTGCTCCTGATGTGAGATGTGTATCGTAGGATATTTAGCGGCACCCCTGACCTCTGTTCATAAATGCTGGTCCTGTCCCCTCAAGTTGTGACTACCAACAACGTCTCCAGACATTGCCACATATAACCTGGGAAAAAGAATTTGCCCCAAGTTCTGAGCCACTGGGTAAAACTAAGTGTAATTTAGAGACAATGTTGATGAAAGCCTCTTTGAAGTCCCATAGTCCTTTTAATAATGAATTCTGCAGAATTTGCTTTTAAAAACATATTTTTAAAGGCAAGAGCAGCCTATTCATAAAAATTGCAGTTGTTTCTAAATAGGAACTTTGCACATTAGAGAAAAAATGTAATTTGAAATGAAAAGCCCTTACAAATCCCTTCATACACATCAGTCATTATAATATTAAATGAAATGAAGAAAAAAGCATTTGGTCTCACCCTTCCGTGCTGATCTCTTTAACTCCTGAGTATCTTCAATTTGATGAGTCCACTACCGAATGAGACTGGACAGTTATCAGCACAATCGACTCCTGGGGTTAAGATGTTTAATTCTCCTTCATGTTTAAAACGATCAACTTTAAACTTCACTTTGTTTCTTATTAGTTCCTGGTAAGCAGCTCATCTTAGTGCTAACGACAAGTTCAGATATTAAAAATGTCTTTGTCATTTATGGCTAATTTTATCTTTTGCCAAATCTTATCTGTTTTCTTCAAGAGAGCAAAATACATTTCCTGATTTTAAAGTATCCTGCTTCTAAATATGTTTTTTCTTGTAGTAAAAGACTGAAAAAAAAACAAAAAAACTGGTATAGAAAAAATGAGGGAACATGACCTGATTTGAATTTTAAATTTGGATGAATGATCACTGACTGCATGCACCTGATAAAGCATCGAGTATTTGTGCTTCTTAATTTCTTCACACTTGAGTAGTCACAGCTGGGAATGAAGTGTTGAACCAAAAACTTAGTTTCTCAATTGGAATTGCATCGAACGATAATCCTCAATGTGATCTGCATGTTATTCCCCATCTGGAGTTTAGATAATACAAATGAGCCATTTTCTGGTGCTTCTGTTTTCACACGTTTTATTTCGTACCTTTTCGTTTACATGAACTTTCTTGAATGTTTGCTAGATGATCGACTGTCACCTCTTAGTACAAAGCCAGGCCAGAGACACTGAACCTGCTCTGCACTCTAATGAGAACAATCCGGAAAGGATGATTTTCAAGGGAGGGTGACCTCTTCCTGGAGATCTGAGGTTATGTTACAGTATTGTGAGTTTTGTTGCTTAAGAAATTCTCCACCTGTTCTCACAGGCAAGTTTGCCAGTGTTGTAATCCTCACATTTGGGGAATTGTCAAAACTCTAAGACATAAAGTTTAAATAACTCATTAATAATTGCATGCGGATACCCCAGTAATGTATGTACATGGGCATAACTTTGAAAGATGTACAATGATGCTGTAAATAAAATTTTTTAAAAAAATAAAAACCTGACTGAGACATGTCTGTGGCCATGAAACAGATGAAGTAGCAGAACTCATTTTGTCTTTGTCACTTACCCTGGTCAGTTTACTACTCAGTAACTCAATGGATTGGTTTTAATGATTTGGGCCTATTTCTCTTTTTCCATTTTGTTAGTCTCCTTCACACCCCTTCTTCTGTCGCTGGAGAAGTACAGTGTGCCATCTTGGCTCACTGCAACCTCTACCTCCCGGGTTCAAGTGATTCTCCTGCCTAAGCCTCCTGAATAGCTGGGATTACAGGTGCCTGCCACCATGCCCAGCTAATTTTTGTATTTTTAGTAGAGATGGGTTTTCACCATGTTGGCAAGGCTGGTCTTGAACTTTTGACCTCAAGTGATCTGCCCTCCTTAGCCCCAAAGTGTTGGGATTACAGCTGTGAGCCACCGTGCCTGGCCTATCTTAATTTTAAAATCAGCTTTCCTTGACTCTGTGCCTTTCAGTGGGCACACAGATTCCCTCGTACTCCCTGGCTTATCCCCACAAACCAGCTCAAACCTTGCAGCTATGTTTAACGCTGACTTCACTCTTATCCTATATCTAACTCATTATTATGCTCAACTAATGCTCCCCTCAAAGTACTACTCATGTCAGTGCCTCCTTCCCATTCCTGCCTGTTCCTCAGGTTCAGCTGTATCACCTCAGCCTTTGCTGTAGCAGGAGCCTCTCTGCCTCCCAGCCACCCCTAAATTTCCTCTTGTCAACTCTCTTGCTTCCCCTCTGCTCCAGGAGGAGGAACAAACTCCCACAGCCTGTCACTGTGGTTCCCTTCTCACCCCAGCCCCCCAGGCTTTATCTTCTTCAGCAGACAAGCAGAGTACAAAGATATCTAAGAAAGTTAGAATGTGAGAGGGTGCAAGGATGCTTTCTTTGTAGGCTAATAAATTGAGTTTTGTATGAGCTGGGGAGAGACTATTATATAGCAGTCTGTTTCTTCTATGCCAGAAGAGATTCTTCTTGTTTGTTTTTTTCCTTTTTGATGTTCACATTACATTTACCAAGTTTCTTCTTTTCTGGTTTCTCTTTCTGGCTGATTTCTTTTTCTATGTGAGTGTGTCATTTTGCCCCGAAGCTGACTTCCTGTGGATGACAGACTGAGACCTTCCCTGACCAGTGTCTTCATTCCAGAGCACACTCTGATATTGACATATCCCATATCCTTTGAGTGTAAACAGAGCCATAGCCTCGCTCATCTTGTGTGAGGCAAAAAAGAGGGTGGCCTTTCTTTTCTCTCATATTTTCACCACATGATCACATATGTGGCTGTGACATAACAATGAACTCGAATACAGAGCCAAAATATTTGGAACATTGTACCGATTCTTTTAGGCTTGAAGATGCAAGAGTAAATTTGCATGGGATTTATAACCACAGGGCTGGGTGGGGGTGAGGCGAAGTGGGGGAGCAAATGGTTCCAGTGGCCAAGGTTGATAGAGGCTTCCAGTGGTGCTGATAACAACCAGGTCTCTTATCTGCCTCAGAAAACTGGGACCAAAAGAAGACCATGTTGGGGTACTGTGAGTCTTCAGATCTCACCTGATGCCCAAAGACATTCAGAAAAAAAACTCTTTTCAAAGGTGTGATGATTGAGAATGCTTTATAGCTTTTACTTTCCATTGTTAAAAATCACACTATTGACCAGGCACGGTGTCCGATGCCTGTAATCCTAGCACTTTGGGAGGCCGAGGCAGGTGGATTGCTTGAGGTCAGGAGTTCAAGACCAGTCAGGAGTTCCAGACCAAGACCACCATGTTGGGAGGCCAACATGGTGAAACCCCATCGCTACTACAAATAAAAAAATTAACCAGGTGTGGTGGTGGGCGCCTGTAATGCCAGCTACTTGGGAGGCTGAGGCAGGAGAATTGCTTGAACGTGGGATGTGGAAGTTGCAGTGAGCCGAGATGAAGCTAACACACTCCAGACTGGATGACAGAGAGAGTCTCTGTCTATAAAGAAAAAAAATTGCACTAATATAACACTTCCTGAGTAGGGAGACATGACTTGACCCATGGTATGGCTAGCCTTAAGTTACAGGAAAGTGCTTACAGAGAGATTTTATTATAAAATAAATATATACTACGAACTATAGCTTAAGGTTGAAACATTCTGGCCTTAAAATCGGCATGCTTTCAAATCCCAGCTCTACCTTGTGTTAGTTATTTGATCCGTGGAAGTCATTGCCAGAGAATTTAAAAAGTTCTCTGGGCCTCATTTGTAGCATCTGTGGAATGGAGGCAATTAGAGTTCCTGCCTCATGAGATTGTTGTGTGGATTGAAGGAAATGACCCGTGAGGAGCGCTCAAAACAGAACCTGGGTCTCTAAAGGCTCTGTGAATGCTCTTAACAGATATTCTTTAAAGACCAACTTTAATAAGTAAAATTTGAGCCAGATTTATTCCAATTTTTAACTCATTACTTGTTAAATGTCAAAAATATACGGTGTGGATTAGCCTGAACATCTGCGCCCAGTTAGATTTGAAATGGCAGTGGCTATATGACATGACTTTACCAAAGAACTATACAGACCTGGACACGGAACCCCACACCTCCACCCCCAAATTCCAAGAGCCCTTATTTCTAAGAAAACACAATTCGATGCAGAAAGGTTTCAACAAAATACCAGAGCTTGATTCAACAGGACCCCTCCTCCCAGCCATACACAGGTGGCTTTGCGAACAGTAATGCCACTACTAGAGGGCTGCTGAGTCTGGGGTTTTAGTCAGAAGCAGTGAAGGCTTCAGCTGACTCTGAGTGAACCTCCATTCTGTCAATGCCTTCCAGCTAGAGATGAACACACCTGTGGTTGAATGAGTTATGTATAACGACTGATGCAAAGAAGAAAAGGTACATCATGGGGAACCATGGGACATATCAGCAAGAGGGGGTTCACAAGCGAGGACTTGGGTTCATGTTAGGTGATTTTGGGGGGATTAAAGTAATGAGGCATTGGTTTGGATTGGATGCTGTCAGCAAGTGGGAATAACTCTGACTGGGTATCTTAATAAATTCTGTCTTTAAGGGAAGCAGGGAGGAACGAAGCAAGGCTCACCTTTTAATTGGACGCAGTTGTCACTTTCTTTTTTGAGACAGAGTCTAGCTCTGTCACCTAGGCTAGAGTGCAGTGGCACACCCATAGCTCACTGCAGCCTCAACCTCCTGGGCTCAAGTAATCCTTCCACCTCAGCCTCCTGAGTAGCTGCGACTACAGGATTGCACTATCACTCCCAGCTTTTTTTTTTTTTTTTAATTTTTTATTAGAAACAAGGTCTTGCTATGTTGCCAGGCTGGTCTTGAATTCCTGAGCTCAAGGGATCTTCCTGCCTCTGTCTCCTAAAGTGCTGGGATTACAGCTGTGAGCTGCAGTGGCTCACAGCTGTAATCCCAGCACTTTGGGAGGCTGAGGCTGCTGTCACTCATTTTATCCAGGGTGGGGTCTGGTATTGTAGTGATTTGCACAGTGCTCTTGTTGGTCTGTGCTTAGACAATCTTACAGAGTGGTCTTGTATCTCACCTCACTTCATCACAGTCACAGTGGCCTCATGTGTGGTGCTGGTGTTCTGAGAGATGGTTTGTGTGGCACAGGAGAATACAATGGCTTAGCTGTGAGAGTCAGGCCAGTCTCACCAACACCAAGGTGTTGTATAGTATCAGTTTCCAGATGCCAGGGCTGTGCTTTTCTTTTTATTATGTTCTCAGTACTTAATATATTTGTGGTACATTTAATGAAATAGGCTATGAGCATTGAAATCCTGGCTGAAAGGACACTTAGAAGCTGTGTGACTGTGGCAAGCTACTTCAGCATCAGTATCCTCCACATTTTATATGTGAGGTCTGTACCTGCCTCCCAGGGGTGCTGTGAAGATTAAATGAGATCATGCATGTTCCTGGCATGTAATGATTTTAAAAAGTAGCCATTTTTATTGAGTTCCTCTGTATAGTTTGGCCTCCATGGCTGTCTGAGTTTAAGACATGGATAAAATGCATTCTCTCTTTTTTTTTTCTTTTTGAGATGGAGTCTTGCTCTGTCAACCAGGCTGGAATGCAATGGCATGATATCGGCTCACTGCAACCTCCGCCTCCCAGGTTCAAGCAATTCTCCTTCCTCAGCCTCTCCCAAGTAGCTGGGACTACAGGCACAAGACACCATGCCTGGCTAATTTTGGCATTTTTAGTGGAGATGGGGTTTCACCATGTTGGCCAGGCTGGTCTCAAACTCCTGACCTAAAGTGATCTGCCCGCCTCGGCCTCCCAAAGTGTTGGGATTATAGGCATGAGTCACTG